TGGGTTCTTCGGTACGTTCATTGGTAAATACGCGTATCCCCATTCGACGGAAGATAAGGAGGAGTAAGGTTGATACAGTGCAGAACAGTCCCAGGCGGAACAGAGGATAACCGCAAGTGAATACCCTTATCTCGACAAGTTGATCAACTATGGCCAGCATTTCGAGGACTTCCAACGAATAACGGGAGGCCAACATACTGTAAGCGACCGAGCTGACTGCCACCACAATCAATGAGATACCAGCGGTTACGATCAAAGGACTGTACAACACAGCTGGTTGATCGAGGGGTTTCGGAGAAGTCTTCTCAACCTCTGTTTTAACTGCTCTTCTAGTTCCCCTGGAAACAGAGGACGCGGCCTGATCGAATTCCAGTTGTTCGTCATTGACGAAGGTTTCTGCGCACCATCGGCCCAAGCCGATCAGCATAGACATTGGGTCTACAACTAAGGAACTGCTCCTTAAGGCGTACCTTAAAAATAGGAATCCCCAACGCTCCTCACTTGAGGAGCGCGTCCTATAACATTACATTAATAAGAAACCTTAGGAAGTCCAACTTCCCGCCTCACAACGTGGGGCGTGATGACGGTGATTACCGCGATGTGTGCGTTGTGTTCCGTGGGCGCGCGCTACAATTTATGGCGCGTGAGCCGTACGGTGAGCGTCTTACTGATGGACAGTCGAGACTGGATTGAGTGCTTCCTTAGTTTGGAGAGCCTCCAGCGACGCATATCTCAATTGTATATGTGGCGGGAGGACCCCCGATGCCTCTAGGCTAGAGGACATGCAAGGATGGTTAGCAGAGATGCTTATTGATGACTTGATGATTGCCGGATGTCTTGTCTGTGACAGGCTCAGAAATGATACTGAGAGATACGGAGAGGGTCGGGTCGCCCCATGTCGTCATCACAAGTGCAACATTACTACGACCCTAACACTGTTAGGCTAACAGTGATAGAGCACTATTTCGTGCTCAAGATACCTCGGCAAGGTCTCTTAGAGGTTGCTACTCTGGACAGAGAACTTCTCTCAGAAATCAGCTGATGTGCGCTATGGATTTATGCCACGGCCGCTCAACTGCTTACACGTCTGTCGAGTGGCTATTCATCTAGCAGCATCTTGAGCAGCTTTCCACTGATTCTTTCAGAACTTGGGAACAGGGCTATGACGTAATCAAGTCTATGGAAGACCTATGCATCAGGCACATCATGGCTCGAACGGAGGGTGAAGTGCGCCCTATTAGGTACTGTGATTCCGTAACAGACGATCTAGGGGTCAAGGTCGGCACTTGGTTGGAGGACCCTAACCCAGAGGATGTTACAGATCGAAGAAGCCTTCAACTACAAACATGCAAGAACTGCTGTCCGCGGGCATGTGCAATAACGGCTTTATCAGCTTTACTGCATTGATTTCATCGATTTTTGTAGTGAAAGGCGCCGAAAAGTTTTTATATTCCGAGCGAGTTGGGTTATTCACTTGGTTAAGGGGCCATCGCGGGAGCTCATTGGTCACCCCGATGGCTAATTTTTTTCTGCACGCTCTCATCCTCGGTCCTCTAGTGAGATATTTAACTTCACCAGCCAGGAATTGGTCCCAAACGACAGGTAGAAAGGCAACGCGTCGACAGGTGTTGCCGACCTCACCCTGTTTGGTGTGATCAGGGATGGCGTTGGCAGTAGCGGTGCTAGCGTTGGTTGCAATGAATGAGATACAAAGGCCAGAGGAGAACTGCTACGAGCTGCTCGGTTTGGATCCGGCCGGAACAATCACTAGTAGTAGACTCGTGTCGTTGTGGCACTTGGAGAGGCGTGTTGAAATACTCTCTTGGAGCTTTGCAATCGGATGATGATTATCCAAAATCGTTGCAACTATCGTTCAAGTTGAGAATTATGTGATATAACTTGTATCACATTCCCGAATCCTCAGTGTGCACCATAGGAATCATTACTATGTGACGAGAGCCATCGTGTCGCGCTTGTTGGTCTCGTTATGGAAGAGTCTCTTCCTTTCAGAGGGGGACATGTCAAGAGCTTACCGGCAAGCATCGTTGCAATATCATCCGGACCGAAATCCGACCCCGGAGGGTGAGGTAAGCTCTCTCAATATCTAGCCGTGCCATCGTTGTTGTCGTCGTGGTCTCAGGCTATGTTTATGAAGATAGCACAGTGTCAGGAGCTGCTCTCGGACCCACAGAGGAGGAGGATATATGACAGGTTTGGTGCTGTTTCTAACGAGCAAATGGCCGCGGTAGGACCCCCGTGTGGAATTCATCAGCCCAGCATAATGTTGTCATTCAGATGGACGAGAGCCTCTACACTATGATGGCGTCGGTGTCGATGATCAAGTATTTTATTGAGTTTATATTGGGCCTTCTGTTCACCGCTACCTCTGATCTCAATGCAGCACGCTATTGGATAACACTGTATCTCCTTTTCACATTCACTTGTGAGATCCTGATGAAGTTCATAGGTGAGTCGTCGTTACGATTTGAGAGAGGAGTGGTATGATCGCTTCGTAGGTTACGGCGGTATGTTCTCCTTTGTGCCCGTGTTGGGAAGCTTTCGAACTTTTGAGAAGGTGGAGGCACTCAAGGACTTGTTTCCGGTAGTTCCCCACCTATTACCATTCTCTAATACCACACTCTGCGCACATTCTGGCATGGTAAACTCCAAGGTTTGATTCAGGCGATACTCTCTGGCAGCATATTGTTATCGAGAGCTCTCTATGTGGACAGGAAAAGAGGAATGCAATACGTCTTGGCCCATGTGGTGAAATCAAACAACGACATGGCTGTGTATGTGAAAGCTCGAGGTTAGTCAATTGTGCTACCGCGGTGTCGTTGGACACAGCATCGATCTTAGCTGACGACCCGCTCGAGAGTGGGAAGAGCACAGTGCCTGATGCAGCTGCAAAGACTATGATGGGCGGTCACAATGTGGAGATCGCCAGTATGCTAGAGCCAGCAGATGGCCATCAACCTAAGAGTAACATGGAGTTGAAATAAACGTTTTTAGGCGGTGAAATTGAATTATCGTCTCTGCTATTAATTTCCCAGATACTCAACCGTTTGTGGACCACACTGTCGTGTCTGGTAAGGAGACCCAACCCCATAGCGAGCAAGAGCAATCGTCTGAAGGACCGCAGATGGGGATCCAGCAGGCCCAACCACCGAGTACCTTTCAGAGGATACTCAACTTCATTTTCTGGCTTTATGTTGTTAATCAAGTCGTCATTCTTGTGAAGAGCCTATTCGGAACAGGGGCGCCTCCAGAAGGTCCCTAAATAGGTTTCGATCATACTACTGTTGGTTATGTTGAGTTGGCATCAATCAACGTAATGATGATGATGAGCCAACAAAAACTGCCAACGGCTCCTCATTCAGTGCAACCGTGACGGTCCTCTTGATCACTTCGAATCTATCGCCAAGTAGAGAGCTCGACCTCGCTTGACTGTTAACATGACTAACTCAAGTTAGAGTAAGGGAATCCCTTGAAGGGATTTATTGTTAGTCTTAGTCCGTCGTATAGAATATGTGATCCCGATTTCTATAGTCGTGTGTATTTAAACGGTGTGGCATTCCCCTGCTGGTCTTCTCGCTGTTATGACTTCTTGCGTTGGAATTCTTTGTCAATATCAGTTTCAAGGGTGACTACGATAATAGCAATATCTTCCTATTGATCACTACATCGGAATTCTATCACGGTAGCGCTACCAGCTCTGGGATGTGGTCAGTAGTGTTGCTTGCATGAACATCCTTGGAAAAGTGCTCTATGTTGATATGTGCACTCATCATTCAGTTGACTATAGGCAACAAACACTGTGAAAGTATGGCAGAAACCGCGGCCCATACTCCTCCTCGTTGGGTGACTAAAATCATCAACGGACGACTTTACACTGAAGAAATGAAGATAACCCAACACGTGATCAGAGAGTGTGTGCAGTGCCGATTTAGGGTAATTTAGACATCCCTACAAGGGCCTTGTGTGAGGCATACATATTCAGTCGTGCAAGTATAGCAACTCTCTTGCTGCGGAAGGAGTAGACTCATTCGTGAGCTCCGTCGAGAGAGCCGTTCAACGATACGAGCCCTATCCCAACAGCAGCAGTGAATGCTTGGTGAAAGAAGCGAAGCTGAGATCACGACGAGAATACAATAGGGCAAACCAGAGCATCTTGAGCCATTGGACTAGAGCCGCTGCATTCAGTTACTCCAACGTTTGTGTGTATGGGGATCAGAGGCCATACCTGAGGTAGATAGAAAGAACACGAAGGTATGGTCAACCAGGCTCACCCTTCCCTCGAAAGACAGTAGCAATCAGGTTTTAGAGTGGTCCTCGAGCCAGGATCCTAATGCAGAACGACTTGAACTATCAGGCGTGGAGGCCTGAAGACGAACAAGACTGTTTTGAAATGGTACATTGTAGCCGAGCCTGGGGTGACGCAGAGCTTCTCTCCATTGCCACTGGCATGCCGCTGCTGTTGTCGCTTCCTCCTCTGATAGTGCCCTTGTGTTCATAATGTAGAGCCTACCTGGAGTGAGAACGTTGATATGCCGTATAGCGCAGTGACCCTAGGGGAAGTACAAAAGGCTCAAGCAAAGCTACAGGAGGCACTTCTCTCTGCGGCCAAGGGTAGAAGACTCAGCAGAATGGTGACCAACAAAGCTTAGCTAGCATTGTTACGAAAGGTGGCAGATGCAACCTGTATTAGAGAAAAACCAAGACCTTGAAAGTTCCTTGGAAAAACAAGAGTCAGACATTCTGAAGGAAATCGAACGGTTGATGACGAATCTGCGGAATGAACAGACACGCTTGGGGGAGGAAAGGAAATCATTGAAAGCAGAGAGGAAGGCCACTGTTTTCGAGAGGAGGAGTGAGCGAATACTATCAGGCGATGACAACGTGTTGGTCTCAGCCTTGCAAGCCTTTGCAGTGCAAGCGGAGGAGTTGAAGGGAAAACTTAGAGTGAGCTGCTGTAGCTCACTCCTTGTGGATGCCTCAATATGCATGGTCAGAGCACAGTGCGCACACTACAGCGAGATGCCGACCAAGAGAGGCACACTTCAGAGCTTCGGCCGGGGATAGCTGGCTTGCGGGCTGCCATCCCTCCCTTGCCGAGTGCATCAGTACTCCATCCAGCAGATAGAGATCAAGCTGTGGAGATGCTGAGTAGAACAACTAAGGAGCTCGAGAAAGTGGGTCGTCCAGGAGAGCGATGCCTATGTCACTCGCTAGGTAACAGACGAGCGAGATCTGGCTCTATCAGAGGCTCGAATGTTGAAGCTGGAACTGGACAAGCGCGAACAGAAGGTGAGCTGGTGCACTATCATCATCATCGACGAGGAGTACAGCGCCAGTGGCAGATACACTCTCTCACTGAACGATGCGGAGATCTTCAGCACGACGACGCTGAGGAAGAGGTATGGCCTCTCAACGCTATTGAATGGGATCGCTAACTCCAGCTGCGACGCCTGCGGGGGAGAGTTGTCGTCCTTGAGGAGTCTGCTACTCTGAAGGAAGACGTTGGTATGTTGCCAGCAACTACTGCTCCTCTCATCTCTGCAGAGTTTCCACCCGTAGTGTTTGTCGACCCAGTAAGGATTCCGTCAACTTGCAACCATTCGAGGCACTCATCCCTACAGGTCTTACCCTCTCTATCAAGCTCGCTGACGACTACACCAAGGAGTGAGGAACTCTACGAAGACTCTGTGAACAAGTGCTCCCTGTCTCAGACGGCGATAACGAAGAAGAGGATGATGACCGAGGAACTCTCGAGAGGCTCATAGATGCACTCACTGGTCGAGGAGAGGACGAGACCGAGACAGAACGTAGAGGTTTCTCGTCATCATTCACGGACAGAACGTGGCGGTCAGATGTGCTGCATTCTCTGGAGCATGTCGTTGAACGGCTGAGCCAAAGGTGCCGAGTACTCGAGGCTGCTGTAGTTGATGCCAAACAAGAGCTCAAGTGGTGGCGAACTGGTGGTGGTACCGCCACTTTCAATGAGTAAGATCCTCGTAACGTGTAGGGATGAGGGGAGGATCATCGTGTCCATCAACCCTCTTCTCAGAGCCTATGCGAAGGTGATGGCTGAAAATGAGCGTCATCTGCGGCTCGAGGGACAGAGGCATTCGAAAGAGAAGTCCGACTTGCGGCACAGCCTCGCACAGAAAGAGAACAAGAGGGTAGGTTTCCGAATTGAATTAAGTCCGATATCAGTTCAGCAGTGTAGGCCCGCTACGAGGAGCTTTGGCGGAGGTCACTGAGGTTACTGCTAGACAATAAGAATGACTATTTGCTCGGCCTCTACTTCCACGCTTGGAGTAAATATGCTTCATCACAAAACGGCGATAGGGAGATAGGAAGACTCAATGCCGTTGTGTTCAGTCAAAGTCGGAAAGGTGAGAACTGGACTGTTGAGGCTACTGCTCGCACTCACCGTGTTCGGTGACTGTAGATAACCAAAGTTTCCAGACACCAAAGATTCTCATTCAACAATGCCGGTCCTTGCAAGACGAAAACGAATCGCTTCGACAACGAGTGAATGAGGTGACGCTGTAGCTGCTCCCGCCTTCATCTCCAATTAGCAGCAATCTCTTTATCAGGTCGAGGAAGAGCTCTATCGGCATCGAACTGGATCTCTATAGTGGAAGACTTGTCTTGCACTACCATGTACACTTTCTCTGGACCGTAACTCCATTTCGGAGGTTTTTTGAGTTGAGTACTGGGAGAATTATTTTGCCAAGTTGTAGAGGCTTAGGTCGGCCTAAAGCCAAGTGGGAAATAGGAATCGTTAACAAGTGGAACGAAAAGAGAGCCTCATAGGAACGAAGGAGTTGTCGTAGTTCGCCGTAGTCTCCAATTTAGCCTCAATACTCACGAGTGAATGCGTATCGGCCTACAGGGCATTCTGACGTGTTGGGTGCCTTGTAGCAGCTTCAATGAGAAGTCTTATCGGTCCTTCAAATCGAGCCGTTCAACTCGTTCGCACTCTTGAAGAAAATACCCAACTCATAATCAGGATGATGGAGACACTATACAAACATGTTATCGCGTTCAGAAAATCAAGTGAAGTACAACATTACTGCAAACTTGTGTTTTGTCGTCATCGGGTATCATAGCGAGCATAGCTAGTTCACGGGTCTTTTGGTGGGCATGAGTCGACCACAAATAGGAACATGCTGAACCCAGTGATTTTACTGTTCCTTTTGTAGTAAGCATATATCGGTCGTGTTTCATAAGACAGCACTAGGTTTATGATACTCCTCGGTTCATTCATGTCTTGTTTTCAGCTCCATGTCTACCAAGCTTTCACCATGATAGTATTATCTCTTTCTGAATAGGTAGAGAGTATCTCCAGGAGATGAGCTCCCCAGTACTGAGACCACGGTTCGAATATCGGAACGATTCATACTGGGCTAGATCATGGCCTGGCGGAACATCCGACTTTCAAGCCTCATGATACTTCAATGGTCCATTTTCTTACTGTGTATTCGAGCTTAGGTTGATGAACGATATTGTGTATGGGGACGTCCTGTCCATCAGGGCCTCTTACCATACTTGTTAAGACCCCGATTGGATGGGATAAACTGGTACGACGGGCATTTCCAGTGTTCCCCCAGGAGTGAGCACTGGAATAGCCCCTTATCTTTATCTGATGAAAGGCGACGCCCCTTATCACGTTGTACACCCGTCGTTTAGAATATGACAAACTTTGACACGCCTGACATCATCTGTGACTTGTATTGTGTAACTCATAACGCAACCTTATGTTGAATTACTCAATGGAGAGTTTATTATTAATCAACTTGCGAGTAGCAATGTGCTGTATCGTAATATACCCGATACTAAGTAGCTTCTTCCAACTCATAAATTGATACTCTAATAGTCTCCATTTCTACAACATCCAACGATCACCTTCGTAATGAAAGAAAATCGACGTTGTCTCTAGCGCTTCCACCGCCACATAGACGGTTGAAAAGGCAACAACTAGAAACGACTTCACCATATTCACCAAATGATAGTCACTATACTTATAGTAATTTCAACAGAGATCGGTTGAGATGGTGATGGCGAAGTACGCAACTCGTCTTAGTCATCACGGTCATCAGCAGCAACGACCTGCGGCGCCTTTTGAGCGACATTGGCATCAGCTGGATGGTCTTCTTTCTGACTACTCGACCTGCGGCTTCTAGTATAGGTTCCGTCCTCCTTCAAGAATTGGTCCTCACGAACGAACAATTTACGTCCTTGGAGCTCGTAACCGTTATACTTTTCTAAAAGGAATTGCCTAACAGTTGAGAGCTACTCTAGCAGGTCTCACCAATAGCCTTCTGAGCTCCTTCAGGATCTTGGAAGAGGATGGTGGCAAAGCCCTTCGACCTTCCATCCCAACCCTCAGCCATGTCGACACGGATCACGTCTCCACATTCGCGGAATAGATCCTTGAGATCTTGCCAGGCAGTCCTCCAAGGCAACTATTAGAGAAAGCATTAAAACAGGGGGGCACGGTCGAGGACAGTAGCTTACATTGCCAACATAGATCAGCCTGTGGACGTCCTTCTCGCCAACCTTCAATGGGCGAATTCTATCTCGGCCCTTGAAGCCCTTACCCTTTCCTTTACCTAAGGAGCACTATACCAGAGGCAATGAGACGGACAAGGACTGACCCTTTCCTTTGCCGCCCTTGCCCTTCCCCTGACGGGTAGTGGCAGCATCTTGATCCATCTCCTCGATGGGCCCGCGGTCCTCTCTGACAAATATCTTGCGTTTGCCGACCTCGGTATCATTGAGGGTGTCGATAGCCTTCTCGGCAGCCTCCTCGGTCTTGTATTCCACAAGACTGAGCGAACAGAAGTCGATGCTCGTAGTCCGGACGATGACTTACGCGCAACCCTTGGACTTGCCATCTCTACGAACCAGAATATCGACCGATTCCACATCACCAGCTGACTTCATATGATCACCTAGCTGACTCTCGGTAACCTGACAGGAAAACAGAGTGCTAGCGAAGGGACTCGAGTTGGTCCTTTCGAGATAGGAGACTGAGATATGCCAAGGCGAGTATTGAGGACACTATGCAGGGCCATATAGGAGACCAAGGGGCGTGATAGAGCGAAAGGGGATGCTTATATAGGGCAGTAGGGTCGCTGTAGCTTTTCGGGGAATATCGAAAAACTCTGTGGGCGACTCAAAGGAGCGCCTCAGGTTAATCCCAATAGACTCACCTCGAAATCCAGACTGCCAACGTACACACAACAAGCTTGGTTGACCATTATACGGGATTAGCTTCGCAATGAACCTCCTCAGTTCTTCAAATGCTTCTGTAGCAGCACGGCGACGACGACCAAAGCCGTGCAAGATACTATCTTGCAATCTTGTATTTTCTCAACGATACAGCGCAATCTATTATTGTCGTCTTGGCGATTTCTCCATTCAATGCGTCGCGTTACAACAGCGCCTTAACTAGGTCCTGACTCGGAGTAAGGCTACCACCCAAGATGATGGACTTGTATATAGGCCAGCAATGGGAGTACTACTAGGTGGAGCCTTGTGTTGCTTCTGTATTGGGAAGTGTGACTGACTTGCTCAAAGACTGCATGCTCGGTACTGCTTCTTGCGGAGTCGCAGCTGCAGGCGGTGGCTTCCTTGTGGGGTATCGGGCGTGGCTGAGTCAGTCTTCTTGGGGCTCATAAAACAGTAGCTGGGATAGTTTTTGGGAGTTGAAGTTTTGGTTTATCGTATTAGGGCGTAGCAGAGCGCTCAAGAGAGGATCTTACCGAAGGGGCGCTCGGTAGGCCATTTCAATAGAAAGAAGACGAAAGTGTTCATAGTAGAGGCTAGTACATGCCAGTATGCTTCATCAGACTATCTCAAGCTGTATTAGCTAGGGAGTCACCTTCCACTGGCGATTCGTTGTGTGATTCATAGTATATCGTATATGGTAGGCTTAGATATGGTGTTCCTTATGATAACTCCATGCCATTTGCAGCGATGTGAACGAATCGAAATCGCGTCTCAGAATATAACATCTGTGCGAATCGAACCTTGGCCGCCTGCTTCCCAGCAGTGACTCCCTCGAGTTAGACTACCAGACTTCCACAAAACCGATGGCTATGTCCCATTCGTCTTTACTGTAGAGACTGAACTATCAACAAAGTTGTCGACTTCAGGCAGTTACACTCTCGTTTAGGACAAGTTCAGACAGCACACAACACTATGGCGCGCGCAATCGATTTAGACTACGATAACGCTAGAGGGAATGCTTGATTTATGCTAGTCAACTTCATGTGAATGAGCAACATCAACAAGTATGGGACTACAAACTTCATTTCAAAGTCACTTGAATTCCACCATCGCTGTGAGATTGTGCTGAGGACTGCCTCCTGATGCGGCTATACGTGCAAAATTGGAGTACACGAAATAGACAAGGTTGGTTGTCAGCCGGTCGCACTCCAATTTGCTGTCAAATTGACGGCAACAATCAAATACGACAACTTGCTGTCGAAAGTATGCAGTAGGTGTCGAGAAAGATAATTGCTGTCACTTTCGACAATCAAAGTGCTGTCGAAAATAATTTATACCGTAATTTTGAAGTATACCACTAGCGGCGGCGCTGATCCAGGCTCGATCGTCTAGCGTGTTATTATCGCGATGGAATTTATCGTGGATTTTAGTAAGACTTTCTCTTTGGCAGTCTAAGGCAAGGCGATATCACGCTGGTTCCCGAGAGGTTACAGCTGGCAACGAGTCTATTGAAGCCAACCAGCAGAGCAAATCAGAGAAGATCCAAATATCGCAACAAGGAGGGCTCGAGTCGCCAAGCCTTACGACTTATTGAAAGCCCTTGTGTAGTTGTCACACAACCTATCACACGATTAATTTGTTCTTCCGTTCACGTGATGACAATTCGCGCTGTGCTCACACTCCTCATAATTCAGATCTGCAGTAGCATACGCAAAGGATGAAACGGTTTCACTACTGAGTACAAAAGTAGGATGATATATACTCCTTTGATCCAACTGCAACAGCACTGTGTTACATCCTGCAACGACCAGGATAGCGCGGCAATAATCAATGTTCTCCTCCGTGTCTCGATATGACACAGTATGCATTAGTCTTGAATACGATGTACACTCGAATACAACTCAGCATGACAGAGAAAACTGCAAACTACGAATGTGTTCATGAATACGTTGCTTTCTAACAACAGTCTTATGATACGACCACGAGATCGGCCACGACGGTGTCTTCCACGGGCTTGAATGCGCTTGGGAACATGCGCA